TCATATCATATTATATCAATAAATCAATTAATTAAAATATAATCATATCATATTATATCATTAATTAATCAATAAATAAAATACAAAATAGATAAATAGACATATACAACAACTCTACTATAGTGTTTAATACTTATATAAAAATGTATCCTAAATCATTTACCAATAAAATAAAAGAGGAAAAATTAAATTTTATAGAAATTCGAAGTAATTTAAACTCTGTAGATGATATTAAGCAGTGGGTGAATGAATATGGTTCTTTAACAAATACTCACTGGATAGCAAGAAGCTCCATTCCAGCAGGAACCAAAATTTTGTGTTCGTAAGTGTACCTGTGTATAGTGGTATCTACCTATTGGCTATTGGCTACTAGAGTAGATAACTGTGCTATTGGCTATTAGCCTATTACTAATAGACAATAGTCATAGCAGGCACTTGACATCAATTTTGTTAATTACCTATAACTAATCTAAGTATTGGTTTTTTTTGTTAAAAAAAAAGTTGAAATTACATAATTATATGTACCTACCTATATGAATGTATTATATAATGATAAATATGATAAAATAAAATTGAAGCTCCAATAATTTATTTATTGTTGTTAAACAGAGTCCTCTGCCTTTTATATAAAGTTACATTGTTTTGCATCCCATGTAGTTTTAATTGTAATGATTCAATTATATATAAATTCAGTTAGGTGTATTATAATAAAGAAAAATAATATTATAATATGTTTACATATTTTTATATAATGAAAACAATTAAAAATATATTATTATATCATGCAACAATGTTTTATATTATATTAATATTATAATGTATGGTTGTATAAAGAAATTGAGGTACCTCTAATAGTTGGGTATAGTAGCTATGATATTTAATATATTATTATAGTTTATAGGCTATATACTAAAGATCAGATACTTGTTTGAAGTTGTAATATTTTATGTATTTGGTTTATTATTATAAAAAATTAATTATGAAATATAAATAGGTACTGATTTGACATAATATTTTTGGAAAGAAAATTATAATTGCATCAGTATTTATAATGATAGAGCCAAGATTTCCAATATGTTATTACCTCTAGTTTCCATCCTTTCAGTTTAATAATACAAGTGTATCTTTTTATTTTTTAACAATAATGAATTTTACAAAATATTGTAAAAAACTCTTTTTCTTTTCAAATCATATCTAGTTAAATAAAAACAAAAATAGGTATTTTTATGATTTAAATAATAATGGTCTGGGACGACTATAAAACTTGTAATTTTTTTTAATTTATTGACCTAAAGGGGGGGATCTTCAAATTTTTACACTTTAACCACTGAATGAATGTTGATGTATCATAAGTTAGAGCAAGGACTTTCATGCACTAAAAAATAATTAAATATGCATTTAAAAACATGCACTTTTGCATCAAAAAGTATGTACTTTAAACCTAAAAATATCAAAATATGCAAAAATATGCACTAAAAATGTTGAGCCTTTGGTCACAGACATTGTGAAATGTGTTGTGTATTTACTTTACATACGAAAAAGTTAACTAGAAAAATGTGTGAATGCATGAAAGTCCTTGCTCTAATCATAACATTATTAAATTATTTACTTTATTTATGGTTAATGGTAACATGTTACCTTAAAATTAAATAATATATTTAACTTATTATTTAACTAGTTTAGAGAATAATAAATGATAATTTTAATTTTTAATAATAATACTCATTATAGAAAAAAGTATGTTTGTCATCATAGTAGTTTCCAAAAGGTTTCTAAAGAAGACAATAAGAAAGGAAACTCAAAAAATGCTATGTGCCCAGCATATATATTGTGTAGTATAAAACTTCGTACACCATGGACAAAAAAAACAGATGTTTATGTTAAGGTAAGACCTCAAGATTATTAAAAATAAATATAATTATTTAGGATTGTTATAGTAAAATAAATTATTGTTATTTTTGTATTAACAATCTGCACACATCTTTGTGGCAGGGTGGACAAGTAGGATAATTTAAAGGAAGAATTGACAAACTTGTAAAATACTTAAATAGGTAAATAGGTACTTTTTAGAAATTAAGGAGCATTGAAAACTTTTTTACGAATCAATCATTTAATATTCTATATATAATGTAGGACCAACATTGTAGGTATTAAATAGGTAATAGGTATTATAGGGAATATAGGTGTTCTTGTTTCTGAGAAATAAATAAATAAATAATTAAAAATAATAATAATAATTACAAATATTTGCTTATATAAAAGAAAAAAGTATATTTGGAGATAATAATCTTTAGTATGAACCTATATATTTATATGATTAGGAAGGTTTATTGGCTTCTATTAAAATACATTCAAATCATGGACATACACTACAGACTGCCGAGACATTAAGATTTTTACCAGCTGACAATAATCTGAAGAGTACATTTATTGAATATTTTAATAATGGTTTGGGAATTATTGAATCATCTAAGTACCATGAAAATGTATTGTCCTTGAAACATGGTTTTAAGCAACAGGATTATGCCAATGGTTCACTGAATCCAACATATAGATGTGTACAAAATTGGTATGAAACATGGCGGCTCAATAATCTAGGTCCACGTAGTGGTTCTGGATTAATTGAAGTAAATATTTATTCTATTATATTTTCAACAATAATTAATATGTATTACAGTCAATGTATTGACATTTACATTGCTAATATACTATAATAGGTACCTAGATTAATAAATAAATATTAATTATATAATGTGTTATTATGTAGAAACTGATAGAAAAAAAAGTGTTATATGAAAAAGATGATATTATTGTTTAATTTAATCAAAATCCATTTGCTGTTGTTATACTGACTCCTATGATGAAAAGAGCACATCTACTAAAAACATCAAGTGATATTGTCTTTGTGGATAGTACATCAGCATGTGATCCAGAAAATCATACCATAACATTTGTATTAGCACCTTGTGCTGCAGGAGCTGTACCATTAGGCATTATAATCACTCAGGGTAATTATTAATTTAACTTCACATTGCATACACAAATGCAGTTTAAAATAAATTTAATAGTTATTGAAAAGGTAGTTAAATGAAATTTGTTAAAACATGCATATTATATGATATTGAAACAAATCAATTTCAATGTTTAAATAAATTGTAGAACAATTTATAATGATGAAATGTTTAATTTAATTCATTTTTAAACGCATTTTTTTAGTATACAATATTAATTGTTTTTCATAGGTCAAAGTTATGATGCATATAATAACGGATTCAGTTTATTGAAAGAAGCTCTTCCGGAAAATAAAAGTTTTGGTTCTTGTGGATATCCTAAAATTTTTATGACTGATAATTCTTCTGCTGAAATTAAGGCTCTTCATAATAATTGGCCAAACAGTAGACATTTATTGTGCATATTTCATGTGCTTCAAGCAATTTGGCGTTGGTTATGGGAAGCAAAAAATAATATACCAAAAGAAAGCAGACAAATTTTGATGAAGAAATTCCAAATTACTTTATATGCTAATACTATTGAAAAAGCAGAACAAGCATATCTAGACACAAAAAATCCCAACTATGCAAATTGGAATAAATATATTAGCACATACTGGGAATTTCGATCAAAATGGTGTCTTGCGTGGAGGGATGCAACTGTCAATGGTCATCAAACAAATAACTTTTCTGAAATAACTGTTAGGATTTTCAAGGATATAGTTTTATCGAGAGTTAAGGCATATAATGCAATTGCATTAATTGATTTTGCTTGTACAGTTTTGGAAGAATATTACTGTCGCAGATTCAGAGAATTTGCAAACTCCAGAAATTGTAAAGCTAGACTTTTTCTTCAGTCACAATCAAAAAAAGCCAGTACAATTAAACCAGAAAATGTAATCCAAATTTCAGATATTGAATATAAAGTTGTAACTTCTGATGATAAGACTTATGACATAAATACAAGTGTAGGAATTTGCTCATGTGATAAGGGACAATTTGGATCATTTTGTGCTCACCAATGTGCTGTTTATTCATATTATGATGTTGTATCGAAAAATTTTCCTCCAGTCACACCAGAAGATAAACATACCATTTCGGTTCTTGCCCAAGGTGATAAATCTCTACCAATTTCATTCTTTGAATCTTTTTTACCAAATTCTTCTTCTGCACATTCCATTTCTAATAACTATACAGAGTCGAATATTGAAATCCAATCTGAAACTGTGAAAGAACTATTACCAGTAATAAAAAAATGTGATGTACCAGAAACATCACAAACAGATGAAAGTGTATCAATGAAAAATATTATTTCTTTAATGACAAATTTAGATGAGAAATATAATTCTTCTACGTCAGGTCTAAAGATGATTGAATGTCGTTTAAAAAAAATTACATCAGAAGGAATGTGGGAATCATTTTTACACACTGCTGGAGGGGCATCTGTACCACTTCGTAGAAGATCTGGAACTACAATTAAAGTTCAACCTACCACAATTGCTAGGCGTTCATTAACATTAACAAGAGGTAGTAAACGTTTTCCAGTTGGGCGGCCAGCAAAACAGGAAAAATTAATAAATAAAAGAAAAAGAAATCTAGGACACAATATTAAAAATAACCTCCCAAATGCAAAGTCACATGGACGTGGACATTAATATAATTAAGATACAAATTATCTACTTTAATGTTTTTTTTATTTACTAAAACTATTAAAATGAAATATTTTCTCAGTAAAAATTATTAATTGTAATATTGTACATTAAGTAAAATTAAATTCAGAACAGTTTCAGTTACAAATTATGATATATAATAGTACTAACTACTAATGACTAATAGTAATAGTTTTTATGTACTAACCTTATACATTTTTTATAATAATTACCATCACTATGAAAAGTTATTAATTTTTGTAGGATAGTTTTTTTGTATTTTATATTTTCCATATTACCTTAAAAATTAGTAGTAGACAATTTCATTTTAAAAATAAATTTACAAAGTATTATGAACTGAAACTATTAATAATTTATGTTTTATAATAAAGTAGTATACAAAGATCATATTATATTATAGGTATACAAACAACAGTCACTAATATGTGACATTCGTCATCAATATGTAAGGCAAAGGAAGATAATAAAATACAAGTAAATAATAATAATATAAAAAAGTGTTACTACTTACTAAGTACTAAGTACTAATACACAACAATAAAACTACCTATATAACCATGCACTTGTTAAAAAGTTAAAGTTAAGTTAACATTGTTAATAATACTAAACGGTTTGGTAAGTATTTATGGTAACTTTAAAATCATAGAGTTAAATTTTTTTAAAACTGAAATTGCCACAGCTAATACCTACTAATTAATAATTATTTTTATTATATTATTATAAATTGTAGCTATAGTAGAGACAGTAATAGAGTAAGAGTTATAAAGTAATAGTTATAAAGTTATGATTATATTTTAATTAATTGATTTATTGATATAATATGATATGATTATATTTTATGAGATAAAGATAAACGGCGGGTTGATTTAAATCCAGAATCAGGAGAGCCCGGTTGTGAAACAATGTATGGTATGGTAATATGCCTCCCGAGAGGCAGGCTATGTTCCACGCTCTTCAAGCTGAACATGACTTTAATTCCAATTCACTCAGACCATTTTGTCCAACTAGATGGTGTATGAGAATTAAATCGTTAAAAACATTATATAATAATTATGCTATTTTAAACGAGTTTATGCAAAATCTTTCAAAAGAAAAATCAGAAAATGGAGCCAAAGCAAGTGGTTTTCATAAACAGTTACTTAAATTTGATTTTTTTATTTTATACAAGAGTGATGATTATTATATTTGAAAGAGTCGAAATTCTTAATTCAAAGCTTCAGAAAGTATCATTAAATTTTCAAGAAGCTCAACTTAAAATAAAAAGTATAATTTCATCAATTCAACAACAGAGAAATGAAGGCTTTGAAGACATATGTGAAGACATTTAAAAAAAATCTAATGAGCTAAAACTAAAACCTCCAGCTAAGTTAATTAATAAAAAATTCCCAAAGAAATGTATGTATGGTAGTGAACCACATTCATTTTCATCAGCCAAAGATAAATTTAAAGTTTCATTTTACGAAGTGTTAAATGTTACAATATCATCGTTGAATAACAGATTCCAAAAAAATGTTATCAACCATTTGTGTTCTTTAGAAAAGTTTATAATTGGTGAAGATAAGTTAATTACAGATGTAATTAAATTTTATGGAACTGATTTTAATAATGAAAAATTATTATTACATAGGGACATGTTACTTGACATAGCTAAATCAAGAGAAATACCAATCAGCAGTACACAAAATGCTATAGATTTTCTAAAATCAGATATTTCACTTGGGAATATATGTTGAATGAATTAAATAAACTCTTATAAACTATTTTAACAGTTCCTGTTTCTTCTTGTACCGCCGAGAAATCATTCTCAGCACTCAGAAAATTGAAGACATTTTTAAGATCAACAATGTCCCGAAATCGGTTAAATAACATGGCCATACTTCATGTACATAGAAATGAAAATATTGATATCGAAATAATTGCAAATTCATTTATAAATAAGACAAAAATTCGTCAAAATACTTTTGCATTATAAATTGGTTTTACTTAATTGTAACAAATATTTTTTATTTAATTTTGATGTCAGTATCTTATTAATAAAATATAAAAATATTTTTCTTGTCTCTCTTAATCTTAAAATTTAGTTTTTTTAGAAAATATAGTGCTTTAAAGGTTTTAGTAATAAGCTAGAAAGGTTGAAAACCTGAAGCACCCAATGATTTTTGGAAAACTTGGCGCCTATGACCGTGGTCGGTTATGGTTAACTCTGAGGCGCCAGTAGTATATTTTTGTATGTTCACAGAACTTTTGGTCAGGGAGATTTTAAATGTTTAAGTGAGAATATCCTTCTTGAACTCATTTTTTTCGGTGTAACACAAAAACTGATTATCAAAAAAACATATTGATGTTTTCAAAAAATTAATTCTATGTAATACAAATCATAATAATTCTAAAAAAAAACGTTAGAGTTATAAAAGATGCGATTCAGTTAAATAAAAAAAAATATATATATTTATTAATATCTGTTAATTTATTTAATATATATATATATATTTTAAAGCTCAAAACATTATTACACAATTTTTTTTCTTTAGTAAAAGGTACATATCCTACAATACGATCATGAATTAATAAACAATAAGCAGTTATACCTGTAAGAGATTCTGACGCTTTGATTTCTAATTCTTAATTGAACATCCGATTGATGAAACCGTAGCCGAATCATTTTGTTTTGAAGAATCAATAACTATAATTGGTGCATTTGATAGAAATGTAGAAGGACTTAATATCGGGTTCCGAATACTTTTTTTGTAGTAAGATTCTTGAAACGATGTTGCTGTGATTCAATAACTGATATTAAATTATAAATTTAGAGGATTTATAAGAAAATGGAATTGATTGAACAGAAAGATAAATTAGATATTTTAAATGTGGACACTCAAGTATTAAAAAAGCTATCAAGACACGGACCGTTATTACCGACACTTTACGTGCAATTATAGTTGGTTCTATCGATTCAGGTAAAATAAATATAATGTATAACCTAATCACTAGAGCTGTGAATTTAATGCACTAAAAAACCTTAAAAAATGCATTAAAAATGCCAAAAATTGCAATACAATATGCACTTAAAATTCAAAAAAGGAATATAAAATGCCAAAAATTATAGTATAAAATTCATTTAAAATGGTTTTTTATTTAATTTTTATATTCATATTAATATTAGGTACAGGATATTAAATATTAGTACAAAAAATGTTAATTTAATAAAAAAGTTAAAAAATGTACATAATATATACAGCTTGTGTAAAATAAAAAAAAGTTTTCAAACAAGTTAATTGACAGAATTTGGTTAAAAATACTAGAAAATTAACTAAAAAAAGCATAATATGACTTAAAAATAAGAAAAAATTACCTAAAAAATTAAAAACGTCAAAAAATGCAAAAATATGCAAAATAAAAGTTATCATAGATGGATTCGTAATTACATAATTCAAATCATGTACTGACAAAGCTATGTTTTACAATCACCAAAAAAAAAATGCACTTTCCTATAAATTCACAGCCCTGCTAATCACATTTTAAAACGGATTAGGATTTGAGAATATTTATTTATACTCTAAAACAGGGTGGTCCAACCCGCGGGCCGCGGGCCGCATACGGTCCTCGAAGGCTTTTTTTTGGCCCCTCAGTTTAATTATTTTTTATTAATTAAAAATTAAAGTCACCATAATATTATAACAAAATCGTATTATGATCGCATAAATTTGACATTTTATTGTTTTATACTCGCCGCTGCCTGACTTGCTGCAACCCGTTTCGCCGACGGAAATTTAAAATTTCATCTTTTTTGTGGTTTTAGCTTTCAACCTCTTTTAAAACCATTATTTGTATAGGAACATCGTGCAATTATGAAATAATCATTATATTTTATACATAGGTACCTAATAAAAAATGCTATAGATTCTTTAACATTAGCAATTAATCGTATAAAAATTAAGTCAGGTTAGATACGAGTGAATTGTTCTAAAATTAGCAAAAATTCGTTTTCTATTTTTTAGGTGAAAAGTGTAAATAAACCCTATATTAAATTCCTTATATAACAATACTTGCGCAAAGATCCTTTTAAATCATTAATTAAAATATATTAAAATAATTTATAATATGATTGTGCAATTTTTTGATGATCATATGCTATTTAGTACCTACAATAAAAACAAATCGAATAATTCGAATTTGTGGAAAAACTGTGTTTCTTAGGTAGATATTCCAGTGACAAGTTGTCTGAATTTTGGATTTAGTGGTAAACATTTTTTCTCGATCAAAAAGTTTATAAATTAAATTTTTGGCATAGTTTGTCAAAAAAAACATGATTATTTTGTTGTTAACAATTGATTATAATTTTCAATTTTAATATAGCTATGACTTAAAAATGAAATAGGTTCTTTTTATGTTGTACATACGGCAATTTAAAATTATCAAATACCTACACAATATATATGCGTTTATATATTTATGCATAATTTTTATAAAAATTGTATATCCAATTCCAATAAAAATGATTTAAATTAAAACGACATTTTAGTTATTTTGTTGCAGCTCAAAAAATATTAATCAAAAACACTTAAACACTTGAAACTTTTCACTATTAAATAGGTATACTATTACTTATTATGCACAAAGAAATGTTAACAAAGTTAATTTATACCATTTAAATTAATATAAATATTTATATATTATATATATATAGGTCAGCGTTAACCGTGCGGCTATATGTCAAAGATTTTTTTTTTAATTACATTTGTAAAAGGAGTTTGTTCACCATATGTCTATTATAATTATATTAATAGTATAATTATTGTATACATGTACCTTATTTAATATATACCTAGCTATTGGCAACCATTTACAAACAAAAAATAAATCGAATTATCATTGTGAATTTCAAAATCATTGTGTGAGCACATTTTCAAAACATGAATTTTGGAAAACTCTTTCTTAGTGGGTCTCTACATCATAGAATGATGAAGCTACTGACCAAATTTCATATATATATATAGCTTTCGCGGTTCCGACTAAGCGAATGAATCAGTCACTCAGTCACTTGTACTTAGAACAAGTTTTTATATATATATATAATGATTATATATTATAATGTTTAAATTTGTACTATAGTACTATATACTTACCTTTCCTACGTCCTACACACAGGGACGTATTTACCCTAGATCTAACCAGGACTATACCGACAATTGCCGATAATTAGTATTATTAGTGTTATGTATACAGTGATGTGGCAATCCCCCCCCCCTTGGAGTTTTTTTAATTAGTAAATTTATAAATTACTTATTTAGTATCTTCATTGTACTTTATTTATTTCTCAAAATATTCTTACTCACCCCCAACCCCCTCTTAAACAAGCTTCAGATTCTGCGTTCCCGCCCATGTAGGTATATGCAACATTCATCGATTACGCGAGTTACTAATCAGTAGATCTGAGGACTTCTAGTTTTGGCATATTTTTTTAGAAAGATCGTAGAAAAATTCTAGTGAATAACAAATGTGTTTCATAACATCAGGAGATCAAATTAAAAATTTTATTTTGCATATTTTTGCATATTTTGTCATTATTGCATATAAATGCATATTTGAGTATATCAGAAAAATTAAGAACATATTTGGCAATTTTCGAAAAAGTTCTTAAATTAGCTTAGACAAAAAAGAACAAAGTGGTAAATTTTCCATTTCAAAATAATATTTTTAGTATCTGTTAGATAATTTACTATCTGACCGATAAAATCGATAAAACCGAAACGCGTATAGGTTGTGAACTTCAGTTGTCCGTCATATTTCGTCGCATACTCGTTTTATTGTGTACACTGCGTGAAAAATTTTTCGTCTAGTAATTATTTCGTCTCCTTCAATTTTTTTTAGTAATATTTTTTTATTTTTATCAAATATGCCAAAGGTAAAGCAATCATTGGCTTCTCGTTTAAATAGTTGTATCGGAATTTAGTGAATGTAGTGTTACAGTTTTTACAACTGACGGAAAAATATTGTATTGTAAATTGTGCGATTCAAAAGTTGGAAGTGATAGAAAATTTAACGTAAAACAACACATTGACACAGATAAACATAAGGCAGCTATTAAACGAAAACAAAGTAAAAATAAATTTGGTTAACAAAAAACTCAACAACAATTTTTAAGTAACACAAAAAAGTCTTCTTTTAATAAAGATTTATGCTATGCTTTGTTATCGGCTAACATTCCATTAAATAAATTAAATAATCATAATTTTAAGTCATTTTTGGAAAAATATACTTTGAAAGAAATTCCAAATCAAACTACACTTCGTAAAGGCTATGTGAATGACATTTATGAAGACACTTTAGTGAAAATTAGAAGTTTTATATTTGGTAAAAAAATCTGGGTTTCGATTGACGAGACGACAGATTCCGCAGGTCGTTACATCGCAAATGTCATTGTAGGAACGCTCGAACTTAATGGCCCTGGTCACGTGTTTTTATTAAACTGTGCAGAACTAGAGAAATCAAATCACATTACAATCGCTAAATTATTTGATAATTCTATGCATATATATTATGGCCTGAAGGTGTATGACATGATGATATTTTATTATTTCTAAGCGACGCGGCACCATACATGGTTAAAGCGGGAAAATCGCTTATTATATTTTATACGAAAATGATTCACGTTACATGTATTGTTCACGCATTCATCGAGTTGCTGAACAAATTAGAGAGCATTACTCAAAAGTTAATAAAATTATAGCAAACGTGAAGAAAGTATTTTGCAAGTCTTCAAATCGCATTAGTTGTTTTAAAGAAAAAGCACCACTCCTATCACTCCCCCTAAAACCAATCATAACATGATGGGGAACCTGGTTGAAAGCAGCTATTTATTATTGCGATAATTACGAACTAATACGAGATATTATTACATCGTTTAATGAAAAAGATTCTGTTAGTGTTGAAAACTCTCAAAAGTACTTAAGTGATCCAGACGTTGCTTCAAATTTGGTATACATTAAATCAAACTTTGGATTTTTGCCTGATGTAATCACTCGCCTTGAAGCAAAAAATATGCCTTTATCCGATGGAATTAAGATAATAGAAAATGCCTATTTAAAATTGTCTCAAACTACAGGTTCAGTGGGGAAATTAGTGCAGCAAAAACTAGACGATGTTTTAGCAAAAAATAATGGCTATAAAACATTAAATATAATTTCAAAAATATTGAATGGAGAAATTACTTCAATGGATGGCTTACCAGAAGACTTGAAAGCAAATAAATTGTTATTTTTTAAATATGCACCGCTAACTTCCGTAGATGTAGAACGATCTTTCTCAACATATAATACATTGTTAGCAGATAACCGACATTCGTTTCAAGTTGAAAATATAAGGAAATACCTTTTCGTTCAATGTAATAGTAAAGGTAGATAGTACGACATTTAGTTAATTTAATATGTATTCAAGATAAAAATTTATTTTACAAAATACCTTTTTATATTTCCAGATGAAGGAGATGAAAACGACGACGAAGAAATGCAGTAGTGTAGTGGAGGGTACACGGGGGTACACGGCGTGTACCCACCTCTTAATTTTATAACTATGCGTGTACCTTTAACCTTTTCAGACCTACCCACATTTTTTTTCAATATTATGTATAAACACGGACTTAATAATATGTAAAAAATCAAAAAAAAAAAATTCGATCATTTTCTTGGAAAATTCATGCTAGTACACTATGGTGTACTCTGGGCTTCAACTGATGTGAATTATTTGGTGATAGGAGTAATAAATTATACACATTTATATTTATTTACACATTAATTATAATTTTAAAAGGTATCTAAAACGTCTAAAACAATACAAATTCCTTAAAAGTAATTATATAAAATTAATAAAAAAAAAACAAATTTACTTAATAAAAAAAACACTGGTAGGTACCTAACCTAAGTATTTTTAAAACGATAAAAATAAATAAATAAAATAGTAAAGTTATATTATTTCATTTAAATGGTACTCCCTGAAACATTTACTTTTCCCATCTAAACACAAATGTTGCTTGCATTTTGAACAAAACATATGCGTTCTACAACTACACGTCTTCAGTTTACATTTAGTGGCATTTTTTAATTCATCAAAATCTGGTAAATGATTCACCGTATCAAGACGAAATTCATCTGATGGCAGCTTACCATCAACTTTTCTATTTGATGAATTCGAAGAAGCTTTATTGGGTGGTTCATAATTATCTTTTGTACAAGGACGTCCTTTTTTCGTTTAGGCGTAGTTGGTTTTCCGACATTTATTAACCCATTAGCCAATTCCATTCGAAAATGTAAGAGATCGTATCTTTTATTTTTTTGTATTTTAAAATATTCAGGGTCTTTAATGTACGTTAGCCAGCAGTTTGCAGCAGTCATGTCAAAAGCATGGGCAATCATGCGTTATGTCCATTTTCGTGATTTAATAAATGTTCGATAATAACTTATTAATTTGTCCATATTATCAACGCCACCCATAGATTTATTATATTTTTGTACTATCTCAGGTCTTTTGACATCGACATAGGTTTTATTTTTCTTATCCCAACGTCTGACAACATCTGTATTTCCAGATGTAATAAAATTCGATGCCAAATTAACCACTTTGTTGTCAAACCATTGTACAAGACCTATGTTACAACTAGGTACATCAGAACGAACTTCAAAAGTAGTCCCTCTTCCCATTTTTGCCAAATTTTTATCTGAAAGTATTGGTGGTTTCGCAAACTGATTAACACGTATCGTACCAGCGGCACAAATACCTATTTGCTGCAAACGTTCAAAAAGATTGAAAGATGAAAAATAATTGTCGAAATAAAGAAAATGTTTATTTTTTTTAACGATTTTACAAAGATGTAATACGACTCCTGGACCTTGACCAAATTGTTTTTGAACTTGTGAATCAATTTCGGTATTAGCACCTTGATATAGCACAAAGTCGTATACAACGCCACTTTCGCCACATAACATAAAAATTTTAATACCCCATGGGTTAGGTTTATTTCTAATATACTGTTTTATTGATAAATGGCCCTTAAAAGGGACCATTTGTTCATCAATACAAATATTTTTCTCCATAGGAAGAGAATTACATTTTTTATTTCATTTTTTCGTATAGTGGTCGAATTTTTATAAAAACATCTTTATTGCCTGGTGGTATTGTCATATTATCAATAAAATGAATATTTGATCGAATTGAAAAAAAAACGATCTCTTGTCATATTATCTGCAACAAGAGGTACGCGAGTATCTTTTTCCCAGTACATACGGACACGAGGAAGCTTCAGCGATCCCATTATAATATGAATACCGATTACAATTTTAATTTCATCAGCAGAAGTTGGCTTAAATCTTGTTTGAGATTTTTGGATTGCATATAAATTAGTGAAATAAGAAATTTATTCAAAATAATTGTTATCAAAATATTCTAAAAAATATTGTAATGGGGTTTTTATATGACTAGGAACTGTATCATCTAAACTATCTAATTTTAAAATCGGTGGATTAAATGGCATGCTTACCCATTTTATGTCTTTTTTATTAGTTTGTATTATAATACTGTCATCATCTTCTTCGATGACTTCTTCAATGTCACTTGAAGCAAACTCTACCAAAAGACTATCTAACTCTTCGTGTGGAAAGTCGTCAATTTCATCACCAGATGAATTATCAATTTCCGAATCGTTTGCGTTCAATATCGATAAAATTTCAGAAGACCGTAATTTTGACATTTTGATTATATATTATTTTATTATAACAATAAGCAATACAGAAAATAAAACCTTTATACAGTAATTATTTCTAAATAAAATATTATTAAAATATAAAATAAAATAATATTAATAATGTAAATAATATTATTTTATAATTTTATTAATTATAAAATATTATAAAATATTATTTCTATATATTATAAACGCGGTAATAAAATAACATGAAATAAAAATAGAATTATCATGTTTTTTTTTTGTCATGGAGGCCTACCGTACACGATAATGTACCTCCATACTAACGGATATAAAACTCGTAAGATTGTTTTCATGACAACGAAAACCGTTTGTATAGATTCATTACTAACATCACTACCAGGAAAAAAAATACCATTGGTCTTATCAAGTGCAATATAACAGATAAGCAATAAATCATTGTGGAAATTTAATTATCGATATTATATCTAGAATTAAGTTATAAATATCATTTTTATCGGTTGTTATTCTTTCTAATACTATTTATATCGGGATTTTATCTGTTTATATGTATACTAAAATAAAATTCTCGCTAGTTCAAACTAATATGTTGACAAGATGCTACGTAATAAATTATTGAAAGTAAGGTACACTATAGTGACCCTAGGGTCTTAAAAGGTTAACGAAAATCGTAATACGGGGGTACACGGAGCATACATAAGATTAATTAACGTTACCCAGCAAATAATATGTATATTTATTAAATTTTGATATTTAATAAGTAAAAAAAGATAAGCGTAATTTGTTTATTTCACGGACTAAGAAAAGATCATAAAAGTCCGTGGTTTACTTGTATCATGGCTATAGTATTACTATCTTAACAAGTTGGCTGCCATGAGCATCATGTTTGATGCTCAGCCGTTTTTCTTCCATTGCCACACAATAATACCAGTTTTTCATCCATGTTGCCATGACCTTTTTTTTGATAAACTTATGATATATTTGTACTTTCTGGCATACAATTGATAGTAGAATCTAACTATGATAACAGTTTGTGGATTTAAAGTAAGATCCAAATATGATGCTCATGGCCCATAGTGTCGAATTTATAATATTTTTTTAATGAGCATCAAGATATGGGCTTACTCTTATCATGGAAAATATCGAAACTAATAATAGAACTCTACCGAACATAAGCAATATAATAGATTATTCTGTGATAATAGTATGAACACATACTTTTTTTTCGTGTTTCAAATAGTTTCAATGAAGTTTATTGCGGTGTAGTGATATTATAATATTTTTTTGTAAATTTATATCGAATAATACTCTTGAATTATGAACCCTGATGAAATAAATGAAGTTCTCGACTACTCAGATGATGATAATTTTGGTTCTGACGATGGTTTTTCGGTTTTTGATGACACTGATGATGATCCTGATTTTCGAATCGATTTGATAAGTAATTTTTATAAACAATTTTTTTTTATTTAAAATTTTTATACTTTATAAAGATGTGTTTGTTGCTATTGTTATAAATTCTTGTGTTGATAATTAGGATGATTCTACACACTCAGTCAACAACTCTGGTAGTGATTTTGAATCAAATTTCAACTTATTAGATTCAAACGAAGAAACACCTCAACCTCCTGCTTCATCAACACCAACAATACAAACACCAGTTTTTCAAGGATCAAATATAAGAGTTACATCTACGGTTCACGATTATGGCAACAATATAATATGGAGTGATATTATGCAAAGTAATAATTTAGTATACAATCCAACAGGTCAAGTTGTTGGTATAAATCCTGACCTTATTGTATGTTTAACTAATGGCAGTCCTTATGATTTTTATTCTTTATTTTTTGATGATACTATAATTGATATGCTGGTTTTAGAAACAAACAGGTATGCTTCTCAATTAATTAGTACTCCTCATAAGTCAAAATCTCGTTTAACTCGTTGGGAAAATGTTACAAAAAAAGAGATGCTGACTTTCCTTGGTATTTGCATGTGGATGGGTTTAACGACATTTCCTTCTATTGCAAGTTATTGGTCAAAAAAAAAAATGTATCAATCCAGTATTCCTCAATACATGTGTAGGAATAGATTTGAGCTACTATTAAGAACATTTCATTGCTCAAATAATGTTGAGTGTCCTAAGGTGACAGACTTTTTAAAGTGAGAGATCTAATTGATTCTTTAATTGATAAATATAAATGTGCTATGATACCTGAGGAACACATGTGCATAGATGAGTCAATAATACCATTTGTTGGACGTTTATCCTTTAGACAATATATAAAAAACAAGCACCACAGATATGGTATTAAAATTTTTAAACTGTGTATACAAGATGCATATACCATAGGATTTAGAGTTTATACTGGTAGAGAAGCAGAGCCTGGAGTTGAAGTATCAACTAAAATAGTGATGGAAATGTCAGAAGAATATTTAGATTTTGGCCGTACCCTTTATACTGATAATTGGTACACCAGCATTAATTTAGCTCACAAACTTTTATCTAGATCTACTAATTTAGTTGGTACATTAAGAGCAAATAGAAAGCATAATCCACAAGATGTTGTGAAACACAAACTTAAAAAAGGGGAAATTGTGGCTCAAAAAAGTAATACAGGAATATTAATTTTGAAATGGAAAGATAAAAGGGATGTTCTTATGTTATCCACTAAACATGAGGACAATATTAGGCAAATACAAACTAAAATAGGAACTGAAGTTGGAAAGCCAGAAGTAGTTTTGGACTATAATCGAGGAAAAGGTCTAGTTTATGTGAGTGATTTAAGATCTTCTTATCACACTCCTCTTAAGCGATCAATGAAATGGTACAGAAAGGTAGCGTTTGAAGTTTTATTGAATACTAGTGTTATAAATGCTCTTATATTATATAATAAAGTAAATAATTGTAATATGAGTGTGACTGAATTTAGAGAATCTATTATTTTATCTATGATAGACAAACCAGTAGATACTGAAAATGATAATTTAGAAATGCATTCAATAGTTGAAAAAACTACACGTAATAGATGTGCAATATGTTACCAAAAACTAGTCTTAGAGGAAGGTAGAGCTTATGCTCAAAGTAAAACAAAAAAAGTGAGAACAATGTGTCCAGCTTGTGATAGATTTTATTGTGTTAAGTGTTTTTTTGTTGATCATAAATATTTAAAAAAAAAGAATAAATTAATTAAAACATAATGTTTATATTCAGTTTTTATTTTGTTGTTTATATTTTTTATTTACTATGAATTATAAAGAAATCATTTATTTATTTTCATAATAATATGTGTAAATATAAAAAAGGTACAAAAGAAAAAAATTACTATTAATTATTTTATATTTTAGTCATTGTTATTTTATTCTTTGATTACAAAAAACTTGTTATTCCTATTAGTATCTTTATATAATATAATACATAATAATAATAAGGTATTGTGATTTGAATATATGTAACAAAAAGACTTATAAGAAAAATAACCAAAACTTAAGTTATTATATTTATATTGTTTATACATTTATATTGTTTATATATTTATAATGTTATAGTTTGTTCAAAAAATTGTTTAAGAAATTGTATTAAGTATGTAAAACTAACACAAGTTATAAAAGTATATTAATATTATATAATTTAATGTCATATGTTGTGTCATTATACATTAAAAACAGTGTTAACATATTAATAAAGTGTTGAAAAATTATACAATAAAGGAAATTTGATTTATTTTAATTTAAATGTATGAAATAATACCGGTCATAAGTTCCAATGCTCCAAGTAGTTATATATTTAGAATTTTATTCTCTATTCAAAAAAATTAACAAAACTGAGGTATAATATGTATGCTCAATTTCAACATTTAAAAATGTTGAGCATCAATATGTGTCTCTCATGGCAATGGAGGAAAGTCAACGCGTGGTCCTAATATGATGTTCATGGCAATAGAGGAAAGTTCACAAAAAAACTCGTGGCAGTCAACTTGTTAAATCGTGTTGTACAGAGTCTTTTGTACACAAATCTATTTTTAAACCATTTGGTAACGTTCACAATATTGTTGTTTTGCCCAGTTATCAGTTATTGTTCCAAGTATTTATTACAATTCTATATAAACCTTCTGTCCCTAGTACTTTTTCACATTAGTATTATTGTAGTAAGTTATGTTATTTTAAAACTGTTACTACTTTATTAGCAAAGATAATATTAAACAGTATACACGTACATTTATATAAAATATAATATTATCTTGCACGTTATACATCGAATTTTTGTATAGTCGTGTCTCGTTTTCTTGTGTTCTTGTTTACTTAATATGGAGAAATTTCTCACAAAAACGACCAAGGTAAGACAATTTTTATTATTTATTGGTAGCATCATGTTTTTTTACGCAGGTAAGTCGCTAGTATCTTATGTCCACTGGACATAGTCTAATTTAGAAATGTCGAGGCCTTAAAAATGTGATAGATGTAGATATCATGTATATTATATTAACCTTGGCATTCAGGTCCCCTCCCACTATGAAATAGTGACCCAATGAATTGAAAAAGTGTTCGTATTGTATATAAGTTATTTTATGTTTGGGTGGGAAGTACGTTGCTGCGATAATAAAAGGTATAAAATTTAATTGAATAGTTAAAATTGCTGATTATAAGTAGTTTTCTTGTATACTGGGACAGGGGGTGTATAAGAGTGAAGATTTAATGATAATCGCGGCACCAGCATGAGCGGTGTTGTCCGGGTGGTTTGAGGTAATTATGTTGTAACCGGGTATTGTGAATTTAGAGTGTGTTGTAAAATGTGTTTCAGAAATTAGAGCCAGATCTATTCTTTTTTCATTTAGTACTGTAATGTGTTCGTTTCTGTGATTGGATAAGCCGTTGGCGTTCCACATAAGGATAGCTAAGGATTGAGATGTGATTTTGCTTAAAGAGACGGTCGAGAAGTGTAGTGAGGATAGAGAATAATGGGTTTATAAGCGATTTGAATTCATTGAGGAAGTTAAAGAGTGTACTTTAATTAGTAAGATGCT